CTCTCTCTCTCTCTCTCTCTCTCTCTCTCTCTCTCTCTCTCTCTCTCTCTCTCTCTCTCTCCTCCTCTCTCTCTCCTCTCTCTCTCTCTCTCTCTCCTCTCTCTCCTCTCTCCTCTCTCTCTCTCTCTCTCTCTCTCTCTCTCTCTCTCTCTCTCTCTCTCTCTCTCTCTCTCTCTCTCTCTTGCGCTCTCTCTCTCTCTCTCCAGTGTGTTTCTGCGTAATTGATGACGTTGCCCAGTAGGTAGCGGGAAAACAAAGCAGTCGTTTGCGACCAGCTACAGCAGCATTAATGCTCTTCTCTTTCTGACAAGACTCGCTAACTGCGCGCTCTCTCTCTCTTTCTTTCTTCGGAGACGCCGCCGATGCGCAACAAAGAACTAGCATCGGGTTTTTAACGACGGGACGCTCTGGTCGATTACGCACACCGTGACAAAAGGAAAACATGCGGACCATGTGTGGCCAACGCCGGCTGTGGTCACCGAAAAGCGAACAAGCAGACCGAGTGTAGAAGTCACCTCACCGAGAAGATGCGCACGTATACAATGCGTTAACGCCTATCTGGGAAGCTTTATGGCCAGAGCGACTTGACATTTGCGTGGGATGCGGAGCTACGCCAAAGCCGCGAGGAGGCAGGCAGGAAGCTGTAAATCGTAGGAGGGTGAAGGGGCCGCTTCAAGCTACGGCCGATGCTGGCAGACAGAAGGCAGCGCTCTTCGACGCCTGCGTGCCAACTAGTACTGTTGGTGATGGCGGTGCTACTGCTGCTGCTAGTCGTGGTGGTGTTGCTACTGCTGCTCTGCTGCTGATGGTAGTGTTGCTGCTGCTGCTGCTGCTGTTGCTGATGGCGGTGCTGCTGTTGTTGTTGTTACTGCCCAATACTACTGCTGCCCACCATGATCTCTCCAGCTGGCCTACATTGGCCACACCGCGCACACGCCCGCCCGTACACAAACCCGGAGCAGTGGCCAGGCCAAGGTCTCCATCGAGCCGGCACTGCTGTACGCGCCAGCTCTAGGTCATATTCTCAACACGCACTCACGCGCTCGCGAACACGCTAACAGCCATTTTCTTTAAAGCTCGGTCGAAGCGCATGCTGCCTCCTCCCCCTCCATCTTCTCTCTCTCTCTCTCTCTCTCACGCTCTTTCCCTGACACACACCCCTATATACACACAGACGCACCAACACGCACGCACGCATACAAAGCCATAGATGCGACAACCGTTCATAGGCGACCGAGCATTTCGTCCCACGCCTACAGGCAACAAGAGCTACCATAATATTCTTTTCTCCACACTAAACACATGAAATCTCTCATGACAGGCAGCTTCCGACATCTAACACACAAAAATCCCATGACATTTACTTCTCTATATTTAACACAGAAAATGTCTGACGATATATAGCTTCCTAGATTCAACACGGTGAATCTCTCAAGATGTTCAGCATCCCAGATTCAACACAAAGGATTTCTACGACCCTATTTCTCCCTTGATACGAGCGTTCCCGATGATGTGGGGCATAGATGGATGGCCACGAGGCGAAAGTTTATCCGGGAGCGCAGGCGCGTAGAACAGCAGCTGTGTCAGAGATAGGGAGACGTGTGATTGCGAGGATGGGGGGGGGGGTGAACATCACAACGCCACTAACTGTTCCTCGCAAATGTATACATCAAATCTTATCTCATCCCAGTTCCCAGCGCTGATAACTAGCAGCAGCAGTAGCAGTAGCAGCAGTAGCAGTAGCAGTAGTAGCAGTAGTAGCAGTAGTAGCAGTAGTAGCAGTAGCAGCAGTAGTAGTAGTAGCAGCAGCAGAAGTAGTAGTAGTAGTAGTAGCAGTAGCAGCAGTAGTAGTAGTAGCAGCCGCAGCAGCAGTAGTAGTAGTAGTAGTAGCAGTAGCAGTAGCAGTAGCAGTAGCAGTAGCAGTAGCAGTAGCAGTAGCAGTAGCAGTAGCAGTAGCAAGGGCCCCGGACACACTAGGCGATGAAATCGGGCGACAAAATCGGGCGACAAAATCGGGCGACAAAATCGCCCGATAATATCAAAACGTTTTGATCTATGCGATGAAATCGGGCGATGAAATCGGCGGCGATTGAGTGGACACACTAGGCGATTTCAGGGCGATTTCATCGCCAGATTTCATCGCCTAGTGTGTCCGGCCCTTAAGACACTGCATTGTTTGCTGTAGCTGTGTAGCCTAGAGTAAGGAATACTGGTCCGCCGAACAAGTATATCCGTGCTCGCACGACGATGGCTGCGTCGTGATCCTTTCCAACTATCAATCCATTTCGTCCGTCCGTCCGTCCGTCCGTCCGTCCGTCCGTCCGTCCGTCCGTACATCCATCCATCCATCCATCCATCCGTCCATACTGTTCACCTGGCTGGCCTGTCATCACCCATGCTTATCTGTTACCCCCCACCTGCGCGTTTGCCTACTCTTATTTTCGTCTTTCTGTCGACGTTTGCTGCGCGTGGATATATATATATATATATATATACCCGATATCACCATGGAAATGAAAGCTTCCACATTGTTTGATCTGATAGTAAAAAATATGACCATCCATCTTCCCGTCTGCATCACTACTGCAACTGCTATTACTATTAT